AAAATTAATTTATAACACAATGGATAATAAAATTTGCCAAATGTTCAGCATACTCAATCAAAGAGATGGACCATTTTATATGCCTAGATGGGTAGCACCGACACCACCGATCCCCAACATACGGTTTCGAGATGCCTATTGAGATTAGACATGAAACTCAAGTGAGGCTCAATCCCGGTGCCATTCATTCCATGCTTACTCTTTAATAAACATAGATTTATTAGTCTTTTGCTTTAGCTTGTTCAAGCATGTCATTGTAGCACTTTCGTGCTAAACTCTCTTATGCATCCTTAAGCGAGTGCATTGATGGTTGTATCCCATAAAAAGTACTTTTATATAAAAAAAAATTAATATTAGTACATTTCATGTTAAGTTAATACTTTAAATCGAATATAAATAAATAATATAATATATTATCCTAAACTCATTAAAGTAGTAGTCATTCATCTCCATAGAGATGAATTTTCATGTGAAGCCGGCGACGTTCAATCGCTATTTGAAAATTACGATGATTTTTATGGAGCACTTATTTGGTGGAACCAAACTATCAAACAAAACAAATAAATCATAAATAAGTGAATTAATAATTTAAATATAATATGTGAAAAAAATAAAACTAATTACCATACGTAAAACATATTATTTATTAGTTATTCATGACTCGAATGGTTTGTCCATTATCGGATCCGGTAGAGATTCCTAGAGATGAGGAAACCGTTAAAAGGATCTTTGTAGCTTGGAGCACTACCGGTGGGGCATTATTAGCGACGACACTACCCGAAGGGTCATTATTGATAGGGATGCGGACGTACCAATGCCACTATCAAGTCCATGACTTCAAACACTTACACTAACGAGTGCCAACTCCACATATAACACCACTATTAGTGGCATGGTCATGGACATTGATAGCATCAATGCCACGACCATGGATACTATTACCATGGATACTATCGCCATCGAGCCATAACTACTAGCACAACGACTAGATTTGCTCAATACATGAGACATAACTCTAAAATAATATCTAAAATAATTTAATAAATACAATAAATGAATAACAATTCGACTAAAAATATGTTATAAATTATTTTTTTTAAAATCAAATAAAAATTCAACATAGTCTCCCTTATAAATTGGATATTCCCTTATTATTGAAGACGTCACTCGCGTAAAAGTCAACAAATCCAAAATGCACAACAAACTTCTAAAAAATGCATAATAGACAAAACAATATAATTAAGAAATATAATAAATAAAATTGATCTTTAATTACAACTGTCATAATCTTTTAAGTTTTTCTCTCCTTCAATTGATTTTGATACATATTCACTCTCATCTTCTTTAATAGCTTCAATTACTATTATATCTATAAATGATCAATTTACATCATTCAATGAATGCTCCTCACCATCTTCCATTTAGATCCATTTTCGAATCGTCCTCCCGAAACAATTTTGCAATTTATTGGACTCTAATAGACATTTTGACAATTCAACTATAGCCCTAGCTTTTATCTTACAAACGACTCGCCAATCTCGACGGTCGCGCTTCAAACTAGGATACGCGATATAATACACTTAAGTCACTTGTGTCGCTAGAATAAAGGGTTCATATATGTTGAAACTTCTTCTATAGTTTACCTTTGTTACTCTATATTACGGATAAATTCTTGTTCCATTCGATGTAGGATCAAACCAATCACATTTGAACATTATTGTTCTCTTGATTGGTAGTGCAAAACACTCCAATTGCGGAATTTCGATCAATCATTGAAATTAAATCAATCCAAAATCAATTTACGTACATCAAGACCAATACTTGCTTTGAATACTTCATCGAAATTAAAATTTCAAACTCATCCTCTCGACTATGCGAGAACATTGAACCAACCTTATTTCTCTTCAATTTCACTAACCCTATGAATTCAATACATTACGACGTATCTTGGTATACATCAATAATTATATAAAATATAATTAAATCAAATCAAATTCAAATCTAATTGAATGTTAAATAACAAGTACTTAAAAAATTGAAATATAAATAAAATTAAAAATGAGTAAATTAATCACAATTAACCTAATTACTTTAACCCTAGTTCAATTTAACATAATTAACTAATTCAAACCTAATTAAATTAAAACCTAAATCAAATTAACTTAATTAAATATAATTAAATTCTAATTAAATTTAAAATAATAAATAATTAACAATTTTCAATAAAAATAAAAATAAAAACCAACCAATTAATCAAATTGAATCTAATTAATTAATTAAATCTAAATCAAATTATCCTAGTTAATACTAATTCAAACCTAATTAAATATAAACCTAAATCAAATTAACTTAATTCAAATCTAATTCAAACGTAATTAAATTCAAAATAAAAAATAATTAACAATTTCTAATATAAATAAATTAAAAATCAATCAATTAATCAAAATTAACCTAATTAATTAATTAAAGCTAAATCAAATTAACCTAATTAATTCTATTTCAAACCTAATTAAATTTAAACCTAAATCAAATTAACTTAATTAAATCTAATTCAAACGTAATTAAATTTAAAACAACAAATAATTAATAATTTTCAATATAAATAAAATTAAAAATCAATCAATTAATCAAAATTAACCTAGTTAATTAATTAAAACTAAATCAAATTAACCCAATTAATTTTAATTCAAACCTAATTAAATTTAAAACTAAATCAAATTAACTTAATTAAGTTTAATTCAAACCTAATTAAATTTAAAATAACGAATAATTAATTTTTTCCAATATAAATAAAAATAAAAATAAACCAATTAATCAAAACTAACCTAATTAATTAATTAAACATAAATCAAATTAGCTTAATTAATTCTAATTCAAGCCTAATTAAATTTAAATCTATATCAAATTAACCCTAATTTAAATATAATTAAATTTAAATAAAAATTAATAAATAAATTAATGCAACAATTAACAAATTAATCAATAAATTAATAATTAAATATATAGAAAATTATAAATCAATCAATTTAAACCTATATCAAATTAATCCTAATTTAAATCTAATTAAATTTAAATAAAAATTAATTAATAAATTAATCTAACAATTAACAAATTAATCAATAAATTAATAATTAAATATATAGAAAATTATAAATCATTCAATTACATTTAAAATTAACCTAAAAATATGATAAATTACTAAATTTTACTAAGAAACAAAAGAGTGAGAGAACTAACCTAGTTCGGGAGGAAGAGACCTAGAGGAAGAAAAGAAAAACAAAAGTTTTTAGGAAGAAAAAAATTTGGAGTGGGTATGAATTGATGGAGAGTGAAAGAGTGGAGTTTTGTGGTGGTTTTGGGTGGGAGATGGACCAACGGCTAAAGAAGAAGCAGAGGAAGAAGAAAATGAGACAAGAAGGAAGGAAAAAGGAATTTAACTAGGGATTCATAAGTTTCCGTTACTAAGTAATTGTTAAATGAATTTCAAAAGGTCGTCTATTTTTTTAGAATTAATGATGAATACATCCTTCACTATTTCTACAAGGGAAAAGTCCTTTAACGAATGATTTGCCTTGACTAAAGCCAAACAATAAAAATAGTAACAGACATAATAACCCATTGTTGATTTTTCTAGCAATGTCATCGCTAACCCTTCATCAAAACATCTGAAAAGATTTTGACGTCACAAATAGTGACGAGACCTTCATTCATCGCTGATAAGCTATCTCTATACCCTCTTTAAATCTCATAGACGTTATTCAATCACTATTTACTTACTATTTATCCATAAATTATAATCCACTGCTAAATTCTGATTTTGTTAGTGTTAATTCACCCGAGTTACTACCTACTGTAACTTTATTAAAATAGATTTAGATGTGTTGTATATAAGTTAATAGACATCTCCACGTCGGGAATCAAATAAATTTCATTGATTTAACATCTACCGAGCATCATCTCAATTCATCTTAGCATGCGTTCTTACAACGTTTAAGAGTCTTGTCAAGAACAGTCTTCTTTAACAAACATAAGCATTCAATTATAAATCCAAATGAGAAAAATGTTACTTTCAAAAACGCCTTCAAATCGAGAAACAAATTAACCTACTTTAGACGAACCAATAATAATGAATATTTGTATTATTATCCATTCATTGTTAAATGTTTGAATGAAATATACGCTTTTATCCCAAATTATTGATGTTCCTTATCTCTTCTTTATTCCTTGATCACATCAAGTACAAGAAAATAAATACTTACCATGTGTTTGGATGGAAGATTTTTTGAGTCAAGGAAAAGAAAGGAAATGATAAAATAGATCCCACTCCAATATCCAAATGCAAAGGGAAGGGTTTAACTGTTATGATGGGATGCAAGGCCTAAGGAATGCAGAATCTAATGAAGGATAGCACAACCCACGATCCAATACCCCCAAAACCACCTAATGTAACCCAAATATTATGTTCAAGAGGATTCCAAATCAGTAAAGCTATCGAGTAAGAACTTTCTTAATAAACCCCATTTACCACTTACAAAACACATTAAGCTATGTACATGGTATGACTATTTTACAAGTACAAGAATGAAAATATTCAATAGATTGAGATTATCTTATCTTAAGAACATGGTGTATTCATAAAAGGATTTGACTTGGGCAAGAGTGATCTATTGACGCAAGAAGAAAAAAACTTGCATCAGGGGCCACACTCATAAAAGAGAGGTCTCTTTGTAACACTGCTTTCTTTATAATCTTATGGAAATTCTCCTCCATTCTTGATTTTGCATGAACAATCTTCAGAATCCGAGCAGCCATCCATTCAATCACAACCACTTAACTGTGATGCATGCATCACATGAGTTTGTATGAGTCGCGTTTGCTGAATAATTAAAGGGTATTGGTCGATCTCTCATTGTTAAGCATAATTGACGTCTTCTCTCTTTTCCTTTAGAATTAAATATCATCCATCAAAACACCCCACCTCGATAAAAGGAGTGTTTTCTCTAATTACTTGGCAATCTTTGAGGTAACTTAGGTTGATCCAAGTTTCTCTTCAACTTGAATTTGAAGACAAGTTTCCCAAATTCTCCTCTTTCTTCCCAAAATTCTTCTACCGTGTATAGGCCATCATAAACGTATATAGAGTTCAATTTTTTGCAGCTTCCAGTACCTTTCAAGGAAGCTGCTTGGGAACTCCTAAGCTTTACCTTATAAATGACTCGTACAGGGGTTTTACGATCCATACTGTGCTTCAATGCAAGATTTCCTCGTTCTAGTTTCTGATCTTTAACTTCTTTCTTGCCTCGAACTGCTGGATTCCCACCATGACCGGAATAAATGAGGACATCTGACGATTCCATATTATTCGCATAACGCTCAGAAACGACAATGCTAGTGGTCAATGAGATCCCATTCTTCTTCATATAATCTATACCATTAAAAAACTGACAATGAAGGCCGATTACATTTAGTTCAGACTGAAATCGAAATTTGTCACCAATGTTAACTCCAAGAACCGAACCCACCCGTTTGGTTGTATTAATCCATTTTTGGTGGTCTTTAAGAAGTAAAGCTGCCTGTCTATGGACATTATAGTCTTTCTCCAAACTCGGCTTAGCTACATTTTCTTTCAAAAGCCTGGCCAGTGTTCGACGAAACAATCTCAAGACCTCCTCCACTTTATCACAAGTAGCACTTGATTCTTGATGCCGATAGGTTTCCTTGTTGCCGAAAGTAACACCGAACCTCATCGGCCGAAAATTTGCTACTCTAGTAGCATTTGAGGGTTTAGGGCAGTCTACAATAGACTTCCCGTCTTGTGGAAAAATGTCCTTGGAAACAGAATCTAAATTCCGATTTCCAGAACTATTTGTTGAGACATTTTCTTGGGAAACAAAACTGTTTTGTTTCCTGCAATCTTTGGCTGAAATGTCTTGAGAAACAGAAAGCGGATTCTGTTCCGCAGCAGGACAAACCTGTCTGGCCGAAAGGTCTATCAATATCCCTGGAGGAGGGGATTTCCTTACGACAGTTTCCGCGGCGGCTTTCTGCACAGGCTTGGCAGCAGAAACAGCATTTGGTAAACGGTTTTTGGAAGCTGAATGCAAATCCTGTCTCTCAAAACCACTAGGAAAATCTCGCTTGACTGAAGATCCTTTCAATATCCTCGGAGGAGGGTACTTTCTAACAGGATTTTGTGGAGGCTGTACATGATCAACAATATCATCTTCACCATCACTTGAGTCCATCACAACTGGAAATCTTCCACACCCTCTGGGAAATTCGCGAATCGCATCGACTCTCCTTCGTTTAAACTTTGACGAACAACGAGTCGAAGTACTGATCCCATCCATTGTAGGTTTAATTTAACAAAACCACGACAATTCTGGTTGTGATAGTTGCAATGTACGTATATTAGAACAGAAACAAAAAATTTGCACAAAACAAAAAAGCAATAAAAACAACATAAACACACTACATGAACATTATAAATTGCACTGTGAGTAAGGCAAGAAGCAACATTCTACCTAGTAAAAGGAAAAAAAAATTAACTTCAAAACAAACTACATCAAGAACCAAAATATTCAAGTAAAAGAGGGGATGTGAAGGAACCTGAAATACCACTTGAAGCTCACAAGTTCTAAGTTCAAGTTGTTGACGAAATCTTAAGCGTTTTGGGAGCTTTTATAAGCAGGAACTGAACGTTTTTTGTTCTGTTTTTCTTAGATTTACTAGGATAATATGAAGTCTGAAAGGACAAAGAAAATCAATAGCATTGAAGTACGTAGTGAAGAAAATGATTGGGGACGGCTACGGAAACGGGAAATTGAATGGCCGCTTCTTTAGCCAATAACCGTTGAGTTTCGAACGTGAAGCTCAGACCTAGGTCGTGTAAGTTTTTATGAGAAACGTTTAGGCGTCGTTTATTTACTGAGAATCAAAGGTTCGAAATAAAAATAAAAATTAAGAAATCAAATTTAGAATACTAATAAAGAATTAAAACAAAATTTAAATTTTTTAATATTCGATTTTTAACACGAATAAAAATAATAATTAAAAAATAATTTTATCAATTATAATAATAGTAAAAATAATAAAAATGATTATGATTGTGGTGATGATAATTGTGATAGAGGTGTTAGTGATGGTTGTGATCGTGGTTGTGGTAGTGTTGTGATGGAGGTGTTAGTGGTTGTTGTAATGGTAGTTGTGATCGTGGTTGTAGTAGTGTTGTGATGGTAGTTGTGGTAATGGTTCTATAAGTAATTAATACACAATAAATAAAAATAATATATTATTATTTAAAAAAAATTTTATTTTCATTCTTTATTTTTATTCTCATCTTCTATATGAGAATAAAGTTATGTATAATTTTCATTCTTATTCTTACTCTTCATTCCTTACCATTTCATTCATTTTAACCAAACTATAAAGTGGGAAAAAGACTTTTATTTTCATTCTCACTACTCGGTTCTAACACCCTAAGGAATTTAATAAAGAGAAAAGCTTTTTTGGTGCCTAACCTTTGATTTTTTTTTTTCCTGTTTTAGTATCCAACCATTGATTTCTAATGATTTGCTATCAAAGTTTTTATTTTTTGTTTGTTTTGATGTTTGGCTTCACTTGAGAGGTTTAATTTTACTAACATATCCAGCGATAGTTGCCACATGATAAATAAAAAGTGTCATGTGACAATTAACTCTAGACATGTCGGCACCTAATGCTCTAAGGTGGTTGTGGGCTCTCGGATAGGAAAAAAAACAAATATCAAAGGTTAGGCATTGAAATAGAAAAAAAAATTAAAGGTTAGTCACCTAAACATAAAGAAAAAAAAATCAATGGTTGGGCACAAAAAATATAATTTTTTCAAGAAATTTATTTTAATTTTCTCATACCAAAGGTCTATCCTCTTCTTTTACTTTGATATATCTTTTCCTAATTAATATAAATAGATTTCATGCATATGTTATGCTTGCTTATATATATATATATATATATATATATATATATATATAGATGGTATCTCAAAACTTCTTTTTAGATATTGAAAGTCATTTAATTTTAAAATCCTAAGAATATTAAAAATTACATACATGCATATTTCTTATTATTATGCTAATTGTATAAGCAATTTTAACAAAGCATTAACTTCTTAGCTTAATTTATATTGTACTTATTACCTTTATCATTATTATCACCCTTACTAAAAGTATTGCACTTTAAATATCCAAATAAAAAAAACTTGATCACTAAAATTATTCATCTCAATTCTATCCGTCTTAGCCTACAATAAAAAATTAAGCAAGTTATTAGCCACAAAAGGCTATCATATGTTGGTTGATCTTCTTATTAGACAAAAAATAAAATAAAATTGTTTTTCTTTTTTCTTTTTTCTTTTTTTTTTTTTGTAAATTTCTCCATTGATCAACTATTTGTTCCACAAATGGCAATTATAATTGGATTTTATACGTCTTTTATTTTTCTAAATTTAGTCTTAATTGGACTTTATATCTAAATGACATAGTATTAAATTTGTTTAGACAACTAAAGGGGTTTCAATTTTTAAAAAAGCAATAATTTTTAAAAGTAATTTTTAAATGATACAAAGTATTAGTAAAAAAAAAAAAAACCCACAAGCTTGTATTAGAAATTATTGGACCGAGTTTGCAATCTTGAGACAATAAATTTCTTGAAAAAGCTTTTTTTTTTTTGTCAAAATTTAATTTTTTTTCCTATTTCAATGCCTATTTTTTTTTTTCTTATTTGAGTGTTCACAACCACATTAGAGCGTCAAGTACCGACGCTTCTAGAGTGGACTGTCACATGGCACTTTTTGACTATCACGTGGTACTTTTTTACTATCACGTGACAACTCTCATCGAATATGTCGGCAAAATTGAATCTCATGTGAGGTCGGGCACTAAAACGAACAAAAAATCAAAGATTGAATAGCAAATCATTGAAAATCAACGATTGAACACCAAAATAAAAAGAAAAAAAAGGCACCGAAAAGCCTTTCTCTTGAATTTTCAATGACCAACTTTAAATGGGATGAGACTTGTCACTAGCTAGGAATAGAGATAATTAATTTTTAGAAATTTGGATTTTTGAACTGAATCAAATAAATTACATAATCAAGTGATATATTATTTGACTGAATTAGTTACTTTTTCTATTTTATAAGAAAAAAACATTTATTAAAAATTAAAAAAATGAAAAAGAATTAAAATATTCATCACCCTTTTTTATTACAAAAAAAATTGTTGCAATTAGAATCTTTATTTTTTTATAATTTCAATTAATTATTTTATAATAAAAAATTTTAAAAAATAACTAACGGACCAACAAGATAAAAAAAAAGTTACTTAATTAATGTTTTTTACTATCATGTGGTAGCTCTCGTTGTACACATCAGTAAAATTGAATCTCATGTAAAGTCAAGCATCAAAACTAACAAAAAAATTAAAGATTGGAGAGCAAATCATAAAAAATCAAAGGTTGGACGCAAAAACAGAAAAAAAAATTATGCACCAAAAAAGCCTTTCTCTCGAATTTACAATGACCAACTTTAAGTGCCATGACACTTGTAACTAGCAAGGAATAGAGATAATTAATTTTTAGAAATTTGAATTTTTGTACTGAATCAAATAAATTACATAATGAAGTGATATATTATTTGACTGAATTAGTTATTTTTCCTATTTTATGAGAAAAACATTTATTGAAAATTAAAAAAAATGAAACAGAATTAAAATATTCATCACCCTTTTTTATTACAAAAAAATTTATTGTAGTTAGAATCTTTATTTTTTTTTCCTAATTTCAATTAATGTTTTTATAATAAAAAACTTTTTTTAAAAAAAAGATAGCTAACGGATCAACAAGATCAAAAAAACATGTTACTTAATTATGCAATTTATTTAATGATTTTTCTTATTATATGTGAAAAGTTAAAAAAAGATTTTTTATTTGAAAAGATATTCTCAAATCAATTTAAGATGAAACTTTTGAAAAGATATTAAATTCTCTCTCCAAACTATATTAAAAGCACATTCTACATATTAACCTAATGCGTTTAGAAAAATAAATTCATTTGAGTTGTAATCCAAAAGTTCAAACTCAACAAGTCAGAGAAGAGTTCTGTCATTAGTTGAAAAACCAGTATTGCATATTGAAGATTTTTTTTTAATCAAAAATTGAAATATATTTATATAATTCCTCTTTCAGTCTCAAATATATTGCAGTCAAATGTAACTGGTGTCTTAATTTTGGGACTAATAATATAGCTTAAATTTTTCTGTGAAATGTGGGCAAAATTGATAATCTCGAGATCTATCTATATTAATTATATTTTAGGACTAATTTTTGGCTTAAAATTTTGTAGAAAACTTATGAGGGCTTTTAATTTACTGTATTAATTTTTGGCCTAAAATCTTATACGAAATTTATACTCTATGCCAAAATTTTAGGAGTAAAATATTTCTATATAATAGATAATTAAATTTAATAATTAATAAATAAAATATTGGTATTTTTAGAAAAAATATAGACAAAAAATACTGATATAAAATAATAATTAATAACTTACTTAACTTGCGTTAAAAAAATCCTATATAATAATTTAAAAAGAAAAAAAAACAACTTTATAACTATAATTATTAAATATTGTTTGTGGAAAAATATATTTTTGTTCTGATACAAGATTAGGATTCCTCCAAGAGTAAGATTACTAAAGACACGTACGTATATAAAATCTTAATAGTTGGTTAGTGATAGAGCTCAAAACTAAAGAGCTAAGACCACATGATTTTTCTTCATATCACCATAACGAAACTACCAGATCTGGATGGAAAATACAAAGAAATTCCGTAAGAAATTCATTTTCCGACGGAATTTTGGAGGGAAAGAATCCTTAAAAAAATGCTCATTGGTTTACAGACCTTTTTTTTTAATTTCGTAAATATTTTTTTTTCGAATTTTTTTAAAAACATTTCTTTAATCATTCCTTTCATGATTAAAATATAAATTAAATATAAAGTTTTAAAAAATAAAGATACAAATATTATGTTTTTTTAGCTAGCATTAATTGATATCAAATTGAATTTATTTATTTATTTGTTATTTTTTTGCATGTTTTTGGTAGTGGAACCTATTAACGGTAGATCTGAAGTGTGTATGAATACGAGAGAAAATTAAAAAAAATGAAACCAATGTGAAAATCTTCTTATTATTTTTAATGGGTTCATATGTAATTCTTTTCTTTTTTTATGTGTCTATCTCTCTCTTAAAAAATAAACTTATAATATATATATATATATATTAATTTTTTTTTAGTATTATAAAATTTCTATAT